ACTTATTTTGTTTTGGTTTTGTAAAAAATCTAAAAATGCCGAGGTAGAAGAAACTACTTGGTACCTACTAAGTCGCTTCGAAATAGAAAGGTAGAAATTTTGTGAAGAAACTTGGGACTTCAATTCTGGTTAATTTTGTTGACAAAATTCGCACGCATTAGTCATACAAATGGTGCAGCGACAGAGTTGATTGGCTTCGACCGCCCACTTGCAGCCAACTGATAGGCAAGCGACTGTTAAGAAAAGGAGGGCGTTTTTATGAAGAAAAGAAAAGGAGGCAGATAGACGTGAATGCGAAGAACTTGAAGTACGGANGCCGACTGCAAGGAGCTATTGGGCAATTAAGCAGCATTAGGTGTAATGGATACATGCCCTAATAAGTAGTGAAATGGAAATGTATTTTATCAATCTACAAGAAGGAACGCCCTGCCATTGATCGCAGGATAAGCGCTTTCAACATTTAATTCAAGATCCTATCGACGTTTATGTGTGAAAAATCGGAAGCCTTTGGGACTATCAATTTGGCTTACTTTCATAAATTAGATAGAGAGGGCTGGGGAAGATGGACAATTTTAAACTCATTTGCTGTAAGAGTTTTAAAAATATTTTAACAAATAAAATGTGAGTATTATGTTACGATTGTGATTATACTTATCTTCCTGCGAGCTTGAAACGATGCGTTTGATGTAAGTACTTATGAGGGTATCTACGCAAAACTTTTAAAATTTGACACACGTTTTGCATTGCAATAAACATCGATACACATTTACTCACATATTTTTAGAAATTTTTAGATGAGAAAAATAAAAAAAAACAGACAACGTTTTCGCAAATGAGTTTGTAAGAATTTTCTATGGATGTTAGCGGATGTGCGTCTTAGTGAAAATGTAGATACGTATGCTGACAATTTGTTTGCAAGACTTTTTAAGTTATTACTTACATAAGTATGTACATATGTACAAGAGATAAAACATACTAAACTCGGAATTTCTTTTCCTCACACTTTTAGTTTTAATTTATTTGGTTGATATTCTAAAGAAACCGGTGAGATGTAGGAGTAACCAATGAACATAAAAAAGTAATATTTTAAGCAGTGCTTGTCTCCGTCTACTCTCCGTACAGACGAATGGAGTAAAATCTAGAAAGTTGGTACGCATGTACATATCGCTGATGAAATGTAGAAAGCCCCCAACTGATACTTTTGTTCGAAATTGGTTTTTTTTTGCATTCCTAGGAAGCTTATACTAAGATGGGAAGATGGGTTCCCTAAAAAATTTAGAACAGTAACTCAAAAAATAGCTAATTTTTGCCACTTTTTAAAAAGCCCTAAATTTGTGAAAACAAAAAGCCCCAAT